CTAATTACTAATGCTTAATAATATATTGATTTTCGTTCACGTTTGTATTTTGAATAACGTTCCGGTTCCTGTTCCAAGTTCATACTAAAATCAAAAAAAATGTTGAATCTCGATTGTGATTATAGTTTCGATTCCAACTTTTCCTTCTTTTTAGACCACTTAGAAAAGTTAAATTTACTTTTTATTTATTTAAAAACATGATAGTTTATAAATTTGAAATCTAAAAAGTATCTGTAAGAATACTTCATCAAAAGAAGTATCTGCGTATCTGCCGTAGACTAACTGTGTAATTATATTTGTATTCCTCAGTTCCTCGTGCAACTCACAAAATGTATCTGAGTCTCGTTCTGATTGAGTGTTTGAGAACTCAACTTGCTTGCAGCTCAGACCTGCCACACATTCCAGACACACCAATCACACACCATACTCATACACACCACATTCACACACACAAGCACACACACTCAGCTCACAACAAATTGAAACATTAAAAAAAAGAACGAGTGATTTTTAAGGGGAATCTGATAGAAATGAGCAGCTCCAAGAAATATTTGTTGTTGTTATGGTTTGGTGCTGTTTGTTGTTGTTGTTGATGCGCTTGTTGTTCTGCTTGTTGGCGTGACTAATGCATAAAAACATGTCAAACAATTAGGAGAAATGCATTAATCATTTTAAGACCAAAGATCGTACAAAACGCCCAATAAACACACCCAGACGGACACAGATACACACTCACAGATACAAACACATACACACACACAGAGATGAGCTGTCAAACTTTGCAGCAAGCAACAAGTGAGAAAGCTGCAGTCGAGTGAGCCCGACTACAATATACCCTGTAGTCAGTTGTTTTATATAAATTATATATATCGACTCTGCTGTTTGCTGCTGATCAGGAATATATATATAGCTTACAAGTTCATAGAGCCTGTTACATAGTTATGCAGAAAACCATTAAGCCCTTTTTAATTATTTTTAATGGGTAAAAAATAGACGAGTTGAATTAAATAAGTCCAAACAGGAGATGGCTGAGAGACATGAGAAGAAACCGGAAGCCGTTTCTTATCCATATATATATATATATATATAAGATATAGAGACACATAGAGAGTGAGAGAGAGAGATGGGGAGAACTTGAATTCAATAGAAAACGTATGCAAAATTCCAGTGTTAAACTCTTCTACTTAAAAACTTATGTCATACTTTGTATGGGTGTGTGTGTATATGTGTGTGTGTGCAACATAGTGTCAGAATTCAGCACAGTTGAGCATTTAAAAAAAAAAGGAAAAGAGGCTTAGCCATTGTCTGATTGTCTGTTGGGGAGACAGACAAATTGACTGCTGGCGTTGAGAGTTGTTGTCCATCCACAGAGCAAAATACGCGACTAGAAAACCAACCTGTTGACAGCATGACGAAGCGACAGACTGAGGAACGGACAAAGTGACAAACTGACAGAGAGACAGACAGACTCCGTTTATATAATACACGCAGAAAATCGAAATACTTTTGACGCCAACTTGTTATGCATAAAATATATAGCTCAAATTTTGGGCAGAGTTTTTTTTCCATGCACTTGGCAAAAAAATCGCCCAACATATTAGAAAATCGCCTAAAAAATATATAGTTTTTCAAAATAATTTCTAAAAAATAAGGAAAAAAAATATAATTTAGAAACGCCCAAAAATATGACATTTTTATTCCAAAAAATGTATTTTAGTAAGAAAAACATTTCTAAAATGTAGAAAAAAATAAAATAATTAACACAAATGTTAGTAAAGGAATTATTTTATTGATTCGAACATAGAAAAAAAACATCCTGAAAATTAGACACATTTTTTTCCAAGTTTTAGAACAATTTAACCTGAAATTTAAAAATGCAAACAAAATGGTTTTCGTATAAAAACTTTGGCAATTTACTTTCTGAATAATAAGGCACCAAAAGTCAAATTTAGGGCAATACTTTTTCTGAGTGTATATATATATATACATATAAGTTCTGTATATTAGTTGGGGTGTCTTGCAGTCACTTGACAAGATCATTAATAAGATTTATGCGCTATTAGCTAAGGCAGCCACAGGCCATAAATAAAATGCAAGCGAAAAATCCAACTGAGAACTGATGGAGAACTGAGAATTGACTGAGAACTGAGCACTGCTAAGAGGTTTTTGAGTTGTTTGGGGCATCTTTGGCCCTGCCAGCAGGCAGCAGACAAGAAGATGAGGCGGCAACAAACCCGTTGACAGACGCACGCCCCTTTAACTGGCTCCCAGGCAAATCAACTGACACCTCGCACCACTTCCCATGAAGACCATATCCATAATATATTTCCCAAAAAATATATAGATATATATATATACATATATATATGTATAGATACTATAATATTTGAAGTTCTCCTTCTGCAAAGCTCTCTTATTTTATATTTTTCATTTGATAATATTTGTTTTTTATATTTCATATTTAATTTAATACTTCCTGTTAACCACGATTTGCCATTAATTTAGTCATGCTTATTATCTCGATTATGTTTCATGCCTAATTTGATCTTGTGAATCATTTGTTTGTTGGGTAACTTTGAAGATTTGCGGCGCCAACGAACATCAAAATTGTGATTACAAATTGAGCAAAAATGCAAGCGTAATATTTTTAGTACGCTGCAATGGAAGTATAGAAAATGCGGTTTTACAGTAACATATATATATAATATATATACATATATATAACAATTAAATGTAAATTTCATATGTGCTTAAGTTCCAAGATCAAGAAAAAGCTAACAAGTACAATGCCAGATCAATGGGACGCTCTCAGATTAGATGATATATATAATATGAAAAAGTTCTTTTTATCTGATTGCTATTATTCACGGTTTTTCCCAATCTATGCAATAAATGTTGAACGATTTTGTGTTAGAACATTTGTTTAATAAATTATATAGTAAAAAATAATTTAATAACTAATAGATAAGCTAATAAACAAAGTAAAATATGTGAAAAAATGTGCGACAAGCAAGAATTCAATAGTTAATTAAATGATATCAATTAAAACGAGCTCAAATTTGCAGCTTGAGAGAGGGATATATTGAAAAAGAGGGAGGGAATGGAGGGTGGCAGGGGGTGTGATGGGGTTGTTGGAGTGAGCTAGAGCACGAGTTGTAGTCAGATGCCAATTAACCAGAATGCTTCACAAAAGCTTTTGCAGCTTTGCAGAATTCTGATTTGCCAGACAAACATTGAAATGCCGTTGTTGTAGTTCTTGTTGTTGGCGCCACTTTGCCTAGCCCACATGCTAATCGGATTGCACAAATACTGAGAGCGAAACTGTATATGTTTTGTATATTTGCATAGCAAAATGCGTTTGCAAAGTCGTGAAAATAAATCACTTTAATTGTCGCCTTTAGATAACGGCGGCAACGACAGCAGTGCAGCAGCAGAGCAGCAATGCGTGCACCTTTTATTAGGTGAAATTACACACACATACGGACACACACATACGCATGCGCGAGATGAGATCAGCTTATCAATATACTATAAATAAATATGAGACGACGTCGGCTGCACAATTTGGGCGCAGGCGCTGAGTCATTTGCGAAGGAGAGCACAAAACACAAAACATAAAGCATAGCTGCGCTTCAAACACGCACGCACACAAACGCCGGAAACTAAAGCAAAGCCGACGCGACCACCGAAAAAAGTGATATCACACGCACGTTGACGGCAAGAGCGCGCGAGAGCGAGCGAGAGATTGTCTAAGGTGATTTGCATGCAAAGTAAGTCCTCCGTTACATTTTGACACCCACACACACAAAGACAGACTCTCCCAATCAAAGACACGCATGCGATGCAGTCGTTGCGCACAAGCATACGCACACAAGCGCAACGATCGTTCAAAGAGAGCGCGAGAAGAGAGAGAGCAAATTAACGAAGCTTTTGCTGCTGGCTGCTGTCTGCCGCTGCCCTCAGAAAGAAGAGAACTGTCGACGCGTTCACATCGCACTAAAAACGAGCGCGCATCGTTTTCGCAATCAAACTAAAGAAATTATTTAAAAAGACGCGTCTTCAACACAAAAAAACATATAATGTTCATCATTTGAAAATAAAAGTCAAAAGTGTGTGCAAAATTAAAAAATATACATATATTTAAAAAAAAAAAAGTAGAGGCAATCTAAAAGTGTAACAGGAAAAAAAAAGTCGGCATGGTTCACAAAATATTTTTAGCCGTTAAAGAAATGCCAATTTGACAAGCAGCCGGTTCACAAATTGACAGCATTTTCTGAAAAATTAACAAAAAATCTAAATAAATACAAAACCCACAAATAAGTCGAGTTGAGTCTGAGCAGCTGCTGCACAAGAAAAAAGCAGAACAAAAAAAGTATTGAAATATTTCGTATTTCGTAATTTTTTGTAAATAAAAAATAAATACATATATAGAAAGCATAATTAAATAAACGACAATTTTGATAGAGGAAACAAATACTAAGTGAAATAAAAATAATAATAATAATAAAAATAATAGTTAAATAAAATAATAATTTTGGACAAATAATAAATATAAAACAAAGTTTGCTTTTAATTTTAAATTTACATATTTGTTATATATATATATATATATATACTTTTTAAAATAAAAGCCAATACATATAATAAAAATAAATGGTAAAAAATAAAACAAATATATATCATTTTATATTTTAGTTAACTAAACAGACATAAATCAATTATAATTCGAGACTAAAAAAAGAAGCATTTAAAAAAATGTCCGAAAAGTGGCGTGTTTTACTTTGTCTGCTGCTTTTTTTGCTGCTCAACGCATTGGTTGCCGCAAGGGAAGCCAAATCGAGTGCTGCAACAATAAGAAGGGACACAATAAATGCGCTAATTCAAAACAGAAAACAACAAATAAATGATGAAACTTATGCTGATGACGATGCTCACGTTGATGCTGATGATGATTTTGATTTTGATGCCGAGGATGTAAGTGATGAGGTGGATGCAACAAGTTGGATTATGCGGACAATGATGATTTTGATGCCAAGGATGTAAATGATGACGTGGATGCAACAAGTGATTTGGATTATGCGACACAGAGCCGGGGCAAGTGGTCGCACAAATTCACCCAGTTACGGCGCAACTTATTAACAACCTCGCCCCCGCTCTCCTTGCTACGTCAGCTGAAGCGCGTGCCGCGCCAACAGCAGCAGCAAAGAGGGGGCATCATCAGTGGCAGCGATAATCGCTTGGACACCTTTCATGAGGTGAGTTTTTTATTTAATTTTTTTTCTCTTTATTTTTCTTCTGCTTCTTCTTCTTCTTGTTCTACTGGGTGGCCGGCGAATCGTTCCACGGAATCCATAAAACCTCTGTTATCTCGCTGCGTGTGTGTAAATATTTGCAGTCAGAGAAAGAGAGAGAGAGGCAGAGATAGACAGAGAGAGACGGCGAGAAAGACAGACAGAGGCAGAATGAAGCGTGGGTTGACTCTAAAAAAAATGATTTAATTGCGCTAGAAATGCATATCAGAGAGATAAAGCAGAGAAAGAGAGAGATATAGAGCGAAACAGAGAGAGAAGGAGAGAGAGAATACTTATACGAGTCAAGCAATATATATAATCTTGTCAGACAGTTGACTCATTATACTCTTTGTATTTGTATATATTATTTATATTGTTATTTATATGTGTATCTCAGATATGTTAATGTATCCCAAGGATACATGTATTCATCACTTATATAACAATATAATATAATTTTATATGAATAAGAACTTAAACTATATAATATATACTCCCATATACCAGACTTATACATATATTGATATTTATATTCCTACATACAAATTTCTGTCTGCATTGACTACATTTTTTAAAGTTTAAAGTCTAGACTAGCCTGCAATATATATATATATATATACATAAATATATATGTGTCACATTCACAATACCTAAAAAAAAAACACAAATAACAATATCATTTATCAAATGAAAAATGCATAAATAATTTTTGTTATTTGCGGTTCACTTTATGTGTTCTCGTCAAAAGACGCCCATTTTATAACTCAATATAGTTTATGGAAATATTTAAATAATGTGGCAGATTCTTTGATGAATACAAAAGTGTATCTCACAGATACTCTTTGAGCATTTCAAATTATTATTTCATTTTATTATTTTATATGCATCTTAAATATTCGCGTTATTTGCACAGCTTGTTGAATTCTTTGCAAATTATCTCACATTTATCGCACAGCTGCCAGCTGTATCTCAAAGATAATATTAGCGCATATTCCAAATTGCCTGCCTCAACAATTTTTCATATATATTATGAATATTTTTATTTTTATTTATATTTGAATGATAGACTTGATTATACATGTATATGTTTGGAATACTTTTGAAACTTAAGCATATAAAATTACATATATCACAAATATGTTTAATTTTATACGAACCTAAAAATAGAAACTGAAACTTAATAATATATACACCTTTATATATATACTTCTCGTATATATCTATTGTGTTTATGCATACAAATTTCTGTCTGAACATTTTCAATATAGTTTTGCAGAAACAAGTTTCAAGTTTACATTTCAATTCGCATTCCTATCAATTTTCTGTAAGTTTACTTTTTACAATAATTCAAATGCAATATTTTATCGAGCAATACTTAAAACATTTATTCTGCATTTATGACATACACGTATACTTATTAGCAATATATATAAACACGATTTAAGTTTACATATCAGTTTAACTCACTTCTATCAGTTCCCTCTAAATTAATAAAACTTGCAAATTGCAATAAATAAAATGCAATAATTTATTGAGCAACCCACTTTGGCTGGAGGCCGGTTTTTTGTCCGAGATTCTTTGCATTAGAAGTGAATGCCTCACCTTGAACCTTGAAACTTGAACGGGCAATGAATGTACTCAGCGAGTGATTGGGTGAATATTATGAATATGTGAATATGAATCACTTAACTGAATACCAGAACGAAACGAATGTATTTAATTGCAGCAGCCCACCCAACCAGAGTTATTCAATACTGCGGAGACGCCTCGCAAATTAAAAAGAAGAAGCAAAAAAAAAAACAAGAAACGTGTTGCAAGTCAAAAGAAGCAGCCAATTTGGTTAACAAGCCAATTTGTGGCTTGAGTGGCATCAATTGCCTCCTGATCCTGGCCTGTCCAAGCCTGAACACTCCAATCGATCGATCGGTTTCACTTTCTGGCCTGTAATTGGGCCAACCAAGCCGACAAAGTGAGACAGAGACAGAGCGAGAGAGACAGAGGAAGAGAGAGAGAGAAAGAGAGGAAAAGAGAGAGAGAGAGCTAAAGTTGAACCTGAACCTGAACCAGAAGCTGACTTCTTTTATGGCTGCAACAAGTGTTTAACTGATAAGCGTCAATCAGTGTTGCCATTTAAGGCCAAGCGGACTCTTCTCTTTTCTACTCTTCCCTTCTCTTCTCGCTTCTCTTCTCACTTCACTTGCCGTTATGCTGGCCCTTTAATTGAGTTGATTGACGGGCGATGCATCGAAATGAAATGATATTTTGTAACAGTTGCCGCCTCAGCCATGCAAATCAGAATCACTTCCAATTGGCCCCCATCCAATTTGTGCCTGACTCATTCGAATTGGAAAATAAATTAGAATACGCTCGAGAGCGAGTCGAGAGCGCTCGTCTAGCAACTCTTAAAGAGGTCTTAATTTGATCTGTTCCCGGTTATAGCAAATCTAAACTAACTACACTCAGCAAAACTAGTCATGAGTTTTAGTAAGTGGCCAATGGTAACTCAACTTATTATTCACCAAGTAATTTATAGAATTTCGAAAAAAGATAAGATAAGTCTGAACCAACTGCTGTTTCCCATGAAAACTTCTTAAATTAACATTTCATAAAGTACTTTATCTAAAAATAATTTTTTATATTTCTACTTTTAAGAAATGCATTTCTTAATAATAAAAAATATTTCGAACACATAGAAAGCATTGCCACATTTTTGATACTGTCGATTTAGGTCAGGCATGTTTCCAATTTTTAAAATTGTATTTCCTAATATTTAGAAACTATTTCTAAAAACCAGAAAATCTTTCTTTTTTTGGGCGATTTTTTCTGAATGTGGCTCTTAACGTCTCATTGTCTCATAGACCGACAGACGGATATTGCTTAATCGACTTGGCTGTTGATGCTGATCGAGAATATATATAATTTATGAGGTCGGAGATGCTTCCTTTGCCTATTACAAACTTTAGCACAACTTCTTTAAAGCCTTCTTCCCATCTTATTTAATTAATAGGCTTTAAATTGAGCATTGAGTCACTGTTATCAAGCAATATTTCAAGAAATTCATATTTTTTTATTTTATGTCTGTTCGCATTACGCATTTATTAAGACATGTTTTGCGTTTTAATCAGCATATGAAAAACAAAACAAAAAAAATGTGGATTTCGTTTGAAATGGGGATTTCCAGCGAATTCAATAAAGGCTATTAACACATGCACTATATATATATATATGTTTATTATGCATTTAGAAAACAATCTGCCACTGATTTGTAGACTACAATTGCAGCTTATCACTTGAGGCACGTGCACCCTTAACACCCCTCAGCTGCCTTTTAGCCTTCGCAGGCCACGGCCAGCAGAGAGAAGAGATTTAACCTAAAGTGCAGTCTAGCTATAAAGTGTACCTGTTATGCCAGTTCTACACCCTCCCCCCCCCCTCTACCACTCTCCCACCCTCTCCTCAGTGAATGCCATCCTTTGACTGTTGACCTTTAGCTGGAATTTAATATTGCCTCGTTGTCCTTGTTATCGTTGCAGCAACATCAGCTGCTGCAATTGCCTCTTTGCAACTTTGCCAGTTTCAATAAGAGCACTTGTTATTATTCTGCTTTATTATTATTATAGCTGTTTGCGTTGCACGCCTTCCATTTGCATAGCTGCTGCGTGCCACAAGCAGCAGCTGCAACTTCAGATCACTTTCAAACGGAGCTGTTGATAATTAAAATGCATTCTCATGAACTATTGTCACCGATATAGCTAATATCATTTTCGACGACATTTTAACTATATATTATAAATATGTATTTTGTATTCAAATATATCTGCAAAAGATAGTTTTATGTTTAAATGAAACGCTCAATGATTAGAAAATAGAATTGATGGCAGAGTTGACTCAGTAGACTCAGTAGGAGTCAGAATATGTATATTAAATCGTAGTACCAGAAACCCACCCAACAATAATAATATATTTAACATATAGTATAAATTATAAAATACCCTGTATACAAAGCTTAATAACTTTAACTCTTACAAATATATCAATGCTTAATTTATTGCACTTATTATTTTAAACTTTTAAAGTATTTATTGTTGTCAACTCTGTAGTCTGTTATACCCGCTCCACATGCCTTTATTGTAGGGCATTCCAATTAAATGAAAACTATTATAAAATACTTGACGTATTTCTCATATATGTAATAAGCAAATTAAATACTTCCCCGCTGGAATCTAAAATTAGTTAGAGTATTTTGTATCTTGGCTGCTACAAGCGCAGGTCAGCTGGGTTATCTTTGCTGATTCTCACTCTGTCCCTCTCTCTCTCTCTCTCTGTCTCTCTATCTTTCGCTCATTTTCAATGCCAAGCAACGCGTTATCAGTTGTCTGTGCCTCTCTCAGACTCTGCTCGGGGACTTTGCGAAACAAACATATGTAATTAATTCTAATTTGACTGGGTCAATAAAATGCAAATAGCTGACTTAGTCATAAGAAGCACACTGCTTATAACAAGTGTTATATTGAATGAATCGACGCGTTGAGCGACTCGGTTCATTTTGAGTCAATTATTTATTTATCAACAGAAAACTCAACTCAATCATTATACACATATATTTGTATATATGTATATATCAATATGTACCCCATTTATATATGGACTTTGTTAGCTCATTTCATTTATATTACAAATCAAATTGCCTGCAACATCATTTTATATATCTCATTTATTCTTTATATTATTTCAAGTAAATGGCAATTTTAATAATGTGGAACAACAGATTCAACAATTATTTGTTTCTGTTCAGTTCAGTTGCAATATTTATGCATCCGTTAAAAGATACAACATATCATAGCAGAAAGTAAATATACAGAAGAGATATGAATAGGGGAAAGTTGGAATAATTAGTATACATTTTATTAATATATTTAAAAATATATAAAAATAGTATATATATATATATATATATTGAGAAC